CACTAATTAGACATTTTACACGTTTGAGAACATCATGGAATCCCTCATTAGAGTGATATCCAAGTTGTAATAACAGTCGTTTTGGGCCCTTGGGGGTAGTAGAAACACGCAGTAAACCCGCTGACTTATTATCACCTTTTAAATTGATATATGGTAGACTGCTCTGTTTTTGGTCTCTACCAACTTCAAAAGAAAAGTCTCTTTAGCTGCTAAATGCTCCACTGTGTTCACAAGCTAGTTCATTTGCCATTTGGTGCTGAGCAGATAGTGTACATTGTGTTTTTAGAGCTTTTTCCCTATGTGCTACGGACTAAAACGACTCTATGAAAGTGGTCAGAGTGAACCACAAGAATAAAGGTGAGGGTCGGACAGCTAAACAGTAAGCTGAATCTCACTAAAAGCTACATTAAGCCTGGGGGAGTTTCAGATTCTGGTTATCAGTCTCTGTTGGTTCATCACTATGAGGTACCCCTCTTTACATTGTCACATTGCTTTTATAAAACACAGCAAATAACTCAACAAGCATTGCTAACATTAGCATTAGATAGAGTAAACTACTGGTCATAACAGGCCAAGTAAAGTTGTAGCTGGAAAACTTTTTAAATTGAGTAAGGGTGCTTTTTTTTTTTTTTTTGCTTATGAATTTGACTTTTCACTTGTAAGAAGAGAACCTGCTCTCTTTCAAAGGTCACAAAGTCTTTAATTTGACATCATAAAGAAGAAAAAAAGATCCTTCATTGAGACATTATCAGCGATCTCCTGTTTTTAGATGACTAGGGGAAAACCATGAACGGATAACTGGACGTTGTATTCCTATTGGTGGCAAACCTCAGCAGTGTTAAAAACAGATCACTCACCCAGCATGTTCCCACCACTGGACGTGATGACACGTGTACTGCCATTAACTCCCCCCCCTGCAAATCAGAACCACCTGCCCTCGGGCTCTGAGAACTGGCTGGTCTTCTCTCTGGACCTCCTTTGAGAGAGAGAGTGCCTCTTGTTTGGACAAACGTCAGGGCCAGCTCCGGGGCTCTTACATGAAACAAAGAGTGGAGTAGGGAATCTTACCCTTCACATAGCCTCCTACAACCCCGGGCCCCGTCTCCTCCCTTCTGAGCAGAGCCCAATATTTTTTAATTACGTACAGGAAACTCCTGTTACAAAGGACACGTTCTTAGTCAATCTGCAGGGAGGCTGTGAGGAGTTCTGGGGTCACCCTCCTCTTTTTTTCTCTCTCTGTCCTTTCTTACTAAGTGTGTGTGGGTGGTAGGTGTATCGACTGACAAACTGGGGAGCATGCCACCCAGAGATTCGGGTCACTGCTGACAGCCTACCTTCTCAAAGCCAAGATGGCACCTGGTCTGTGAATACAACCCCCTCTTTACACACACACCAACACCAAAACTATACAGCCAGCATCTCCATCTCTACAAGCCTCATTCCAGACCAAACAAATCAACCTCAGCCCCAAATTCTCTGTTACATGCGCATATACTGTATTATAATACTTGTCAATTTGAATAATAATTTATATACCAGGACAAAGAAGTAGACATGTCAGTAAGCTTTTTTTTTTCACCCTCAGCTTCTTAGCTCCGGTGGTCTCTAACTGACAGGAACTCAGGCACTATTTGTTATCTTTAGGCCCAATAAGTCCATCTGGTTTTGGTTTGGCTCCTCGAGATCACCCCTGGAGATGTGGATGGAGGGGACTTAGGGGTGAGGCGGGGTGGTGGAGGGGCAGTTCGAGGAGGCTTTTTTCTCCTCTTAAATTGAATTTCTCACCATTCCAACCTGGGCCTTGGACCAGGGATAGAGCGAGAGCTTGCGTTCGGCTTCCAACCCTCAGGCTCATGAAAAGCTATGCTAAAAAAGTAAGAAAGAGGAGGGAAAAATACTTGGAAGAAATCAGTATCACCTGTTTTGCCAAACGACTTGCATGTTCGGAGTAATGGCTATTAACTGACTCAGACTCTCTCCGCCTGTGTTGGTAATAGAGGAATGTATGAACTCTCTCTGAACCATTCCTGACATGAAACCTTTTGTGTCTGATGAAATGATGTGTGAAAATAAATAAATAGTAGACTAAACAAAGCTGTCATTTATAGGAAATTCAGGTTTAGGGTGTTATATTTAAATGTAGTAAAAATGTTTATTTTTAATACATGCTCAGGGAAAATCTTTTCCAAAGAAAGCTAACCTCTGTAGCAAAGGTTCCTATAATGTTGATGGTTTAACATTCACAGTAGTCAGCATAAAAATAATATAGCTTTCTAGCTACATGTAGTTAGCCGGTTGTACCTTGAATTTGTTTGTGTGTTATCACTGAATCTGCATTTTAGATATTTCCTAATTCATACAGTTTATTGTTTATTTATGTTTACATTCAATATCTTAGGAAACAGATTTCTTTTATTTTTTTAAGTGAATTAAAGTTCCATTGTGTAACAATTAGGAAATGGAATATAATATTCAGATGTATGTTTTCATTAGTGTATAATCACTTGAAAATAGAGTTGTTTTTGTCACCTTAGAATGAGCCATTTATTTCTATGGACACCGCAAGTCGCTTTACATGGAGGCTGCAATGTTGAACCGCCATGTTTCTACAGTAACCCAGAATGGACAAACCAAAAACTGGATCTAGATAGGTGCGTTCGTATTTTTTGCGTGTTCCACCGTAGTTTCATCCTCGCACTTCGAAATGGATGGTAAATCGAGTGAGTTGCAATATGCAACTTTACCACTAGATGCCACTAAATCCTAAACACTGGTCCTTTAAAGGTAGTTTAATGCAAACAAAAGCACTTTTGAGCACTTTTGCTGTTACCATCATATCATTCTGTGATATATTTTTTCTTCTTCAGTTGGAATTGATAGCTGAAGTTTTGTAAATATTCCATATAATTCAAAAAAGACAACCACTGCAGCAAAGATGTACAATAGCTAGATAGCCATCTTCCTGAATCTATGTTTGTGTCTCCTAATCTGCACTTTAAATACACAGTATGTTTACATCAACATTTATGTACAGTACATCCACAATCAATATCTCAGGAAACTGCATAAAAACATTTATATAAAATATATAAAGATCTTTTCCATTTGCCAGGATGAGACTTTAAGCTTTTTTAATTTAACTTTAAAGGCTTTGTTATTTAGAAAAATTTAAGTTTTTTTTTTTTCTTTTTGGGTACCTTATCTTCTACTCCGTGTTATCTATTACAGACATGCCACATACAACTGATCTAATTACCACATACATACATTCTCTATTGGCTGCTCCCTATTGCCACAGTGGATAATCTGTTTCCATGTCACAGGTAAATCGGTAAACCAACCCCGCATAGGCTTTTTACACTAAATGCACTTTCTGAATCAACCCTATCCAGGCTTGGGACCAGCAATTATGAATGCATCCCCAAAGGCTGGGGAACAACCCGGGGTTCAGTGTCTTGCCCAAGGACACTTCAACATGAGGTAGGGATTGAACTTCCAACCCTGGGATCAGTTAGATGACCCACTCCACCACCTGAGCCACAGCCACCCCATACATGAGCCCATACTGCTTTATTATATTTTCTTTTTCAGCTGGCTTTGATATCTGATGTTCTGTAAATATTCCTACGGCGGTTTTCCATTTTTAGCTGCACATCCCTCTTTTTGTCCACTTTCTAAGAAGACATTCCACAAAAGGAGCTCGAGCTCAAGTCGATTTCAGATTTTCATACGGATGGAAGACAGTTTGTCTCTCTCATCCATCTCTCTTGTCACTGTCCAGTGCAGGCTGTATAAATCAAAATGGAATGAAAATGAAAATAACCCAAAACTGTGAATTATTTTGTTGGCCCTTACAATTTTATGGCCATGACAGTCTCTACAACTACTGGATGTAAAAGTGGTCAACTACTGGGTTTCTATGCTTTCTGGTGGTACAGTTTGCTTTTCTGGTATTTCTGTACAATTAAATACATGTTTCCCATGGTACTCCCCCATAAAGTCTGCACTTATCCCTGACTAACCCTGTGGGTTCTGTAAAATAAGACCTTACTGTCTTTTAAAGGATAGAGCAGGCTGACGGTTAAGGTATACTTTGTGGAAATGTAGCTTGAAATGTACACATGTTCCTCACATTTTTGTTTCTTCACTGTCATTCCTCTTAATTATTTTTGTATCTCAGCCCTTCCTGTGACATCTTTAAATACCGTCGATACCCACTTCTCTCCAAAGAAATCTGAGCCAAAGCCCCATTCCCCCGACATCATCATCATCATCCCACAAACTCAGTTTATTTTCTCAGGTGAACAAACTGTACACGCTGGCTCCCTCAGATGCTCTTTATTAGGCTCCTGGAATCAGCTGTACCTTCATCTTGAATAAGAGTGTGTTTGTGTGTTTAAGATTTAAATAGATCTGGATTGAGATTGTACAATTCTCACCAAAAATAGTTCACCGCAGAGTCACAGATACAAACAAAAGGTGGTTTCTAATTGTCAGTTTAAAGATGTTTTGGTTTATGTAATACTGTAAAAACTACCCTATATGTACCTATTGAGAAGCAGTATAAACATGTTTAATTCCAATCTACTATGAAAAACAGACCTCATTCATACATATGTGTCAAACATGTGACATTGCAAAGGGGGCCTCCACTGACTGCCTTTGAGTATTGAAAGAGCAAAGGTAGTCAAATCCTCATCTTCTAACTTCACTCCTTCCTTACCATGACCAAAAGTCAGAATACCTACAGTTTAAAAATATTAAATTGTATGTCCATTAGGACAAAAGCCTTCTACATGACACTGTAATTAAACTTAGACTGTAAGCTATTTACATTTGCAAGCCACTACTATCTATTGAACACTGGTTTGTATTTCTTTATTTTCACTTTACCCACTGTAAATTCAAGAATATGTTTTAAAATGTTGAATACACTCGACTGTATTGTGTGTTATCAAACTGAACTTCAAGCATCAGTAATAAAAGAAAACATACTCTAATTTAAGACACAATTTCAGTTTAATGGATGTGTACACACTTCACAAATACATGCTGAATTTTGAAATTGTTAACACTCGGTGAGGACAACTTCTTTTACTAGCATTCTGTGTTCAACAACTTACATTCATCATGAAGTTAAATTAAAACCACATATATGCAGTTCTAACAACATTTTATCAATGTAGGCAACATTAGGTAAGTTGTGTATTATTTCAGTTAGTGAACCTTCACAGAAGGCATTTCAAAATTAACACTGTTTTGTGGAAATAGCATCTACAGTAGCATGAAGTGGCAGCTATACAGTGGCACTAAAGTGGTATGACAGCTCAAGCATACAGTACAATAAAAAAAAAGTTAAAAAAAGTTATTTTTCTGTGTATCAAGTTTAAGCTTTACTGTCTGCTTTAATAAAACACATAGAGACATGCAACAAAGAATTAAAATACTACGCTTAGCTGATAAGACATTAACTGTGTTGGTGAACTGTTTTTTATAAAGTATTTTCTTTATAAACACCTGGACAAATCAGGATGAGAAAGATCTGACCACACAAGCCTTTTCAGAGGAACTATGGTGGCTTCATGTATAATCTACGTTCAAATACATAACATTATAAAGTGCACATACTACAGCTCATGACACAGACCACACAAATTCCATATTCTCTCCATACGTACAACAGTCTATCCCCTAAGATATAACAAAATCTGAATTGTATTCATCTACAGCTCAGCATTTATTTACAGCCCGAAAAAGGATATTGGATAATGTTTGTAACTGAGCAGGGAGAAATTAAACACAGATTATTACAGTCACATAATATATAATCATGCTGTAGCCTCAATACATAAGCAGCTGAGGTATGTTTCTAAAGTTCTTATCTATCAACAGAAAATGAGAAAAGCAGCAGACAATAACCGCACAGTGTGTTTGGTTAGAGATATATGAGGAGTGGACATTTAAAAGTGAAGTAGGTAGTACACTGTGCACATGCAACTTTCAAGGCAAAGCTGGCCCACACAATCAAGTTCTTATGATAATACCTGTGTGATGAAACCGGGTCAGATTATGACCACCATTAGCACCGTTTAGAAATGGGAAACACCTTGCAAAGTAAAGCAATCCAATACAGCACTAACAGAAACAACCTAAACAGTTGAGTAGCCATTTCTCTCACAGTTTCAATAATAACTGAACATTGTAAGCTTCACAAAAGTAGCATTTATTGCATGGTAATTCTGCTTGATTGATTCATATTAAAAGATGCTATTGTTTTTCTGTTCAGCCTTTGTTTCTCCAGCAATACAGTTTTAAATTGTATATAATTCAAGGCCAAGGCATCTTCATGAAAAGTCATTGACTACTATTAAACAGTTTTTATCTGTATATAGTTTTTTTCTATTGCTTACATTAACACAACACAGTGGATCACAGGTCAGGAAAAGGTTTTGTGGGGTAGCCAGAATTTCAGCCCGTGCCTTCAGGTGCAGGGACTCAAAATTAGGTAATTTACATGGACAGGAGGGTTGGTCCAAGTGGCCACAGCTGGAGCCGTCACATCATTGTAGCCCTAAAAATAAGACGATTCACTCTTAGAAGGTTACAGTTACTGTGTATCTGGAACAACTCTTTTGTTTCAGCTGCACTACCCTGCACAACAATTGAGACATGCCTCCCCCTTGTGGATGTTTTGAAAGAATTCCTGTGAGAGTTTAACGTTTGCAGTGATATTCTGATCTCTTTTTACAAATTACAAAAAGAAACAACGTAACAGACCAACCTCAACTATCAGTTGTTGGCACACACGATGATCGCCGTGATCTGCACATAGTTTTCTGTGAAATAAAGCAAGATTAACAGAAATAAATGATTAATTTGAACAAATGTGAACAATATTGACACATGATGTAGATTTGCTTATTTTACTTACTGAAGCTTCTCTACCACATAAAAAACAATTGAAAATATTAGGATTGCTAATATATAAGCTTCAGAAAGTGTGCAACAAACGTATCTTTTCTTAAATTACTAGAGCCCTAATTAAGTTAGTTTAAGATCAGCAACCCTGTGTAGATCCTCAGTTTATTCATGATAAATGCACACTAGGACTGTGTATTGTACCTTTGTATAAAGGCGATGATGAAGGACTGAGTCAGATAGCCAAGGATGTCTCAAGGCCTCAGATGCCCCCATCCTCCAACTGTTGACAAACACAACGACACATAAATGTTACTCACATGTTAAAAACCACCACATGTTAACCATGGCACACAGAAAGGAGGTAAATCAGAATGAAACCCTATGATGATACCCTTTATTCACGATGAGCAGTCTTGAGATGAAGTCCTTGGCTTCTTCAGATGTATCGACAAACTCTTGTTCCTCAAAGTTCCACTTACAGGACAAGATGTTATTCAGAGTCTCGTTGTCATCGTCACCAAGGAAGGGACAGAGACCGCTCAGACTGGCAGAAAGAGACAGACGGCCATTAACGCTAGTTTGTGCATGTGAGTGTGCTTATGTGTGTGTTTACTTACAGCATATAGGTGATGACGCCGAGGCTCCACATGTCTGTGTTGAACGAAACAAAGTCGTAGTTGATGACTTCAGGAGCCAGAAACTCTGGAGTGCCAAAATTCACTCGCAGTTTCTCCCGGGGTTTATATCTATGTGAAGAATATAATTGAAATTCATATTAATGACATTTACATTTTGTATGTTTAGAGCAACAGTCAATGAAAGAGAAGCAAACACCAGTACTTACACCCTAGCAAGACCAAAGTCAATGATTTTGATCTTATTCGTGATGCGGTTCACACACAGAATGTTTTCTGGCTGTAATTTATAACAAAACAAAACAACTCATAACTTCACTCACAACTCATCACTTGACTGAACTTCATGAAATGTGTTAAGCCTCGATTAAAAAAATATAACAACAAATATAAGTGATTTAGTTACCTTTAAGTCCAGGTGTAGGACGTACATTTTGTGCATGTGCTGCAGGCCCTCACAGATCTGCCTGATGAACACCACAGCGTCCAGCTCCATTAAGGTGTAGTTCTCATCAATGATCCTATCAAACAGTTCCCCTCCACCAACACTAAGGTTAAAGACAAATGCATAAAAAAGACACCACTGTAACACCTCAAATGTAAAGCATTTTAAATCTTAAGTATTGTTTTGTTTTAACATAATTATTCGTCAAACAAAAGTGACAAAAAGTAACTCTACTTTAAACTACTTGGTATAAGATGTTCAATAAGCTTAGAAGTTTAGAAAGAAATAAACATTTGTGCTGATAATATAAAAGAAGGAGCATACTATTCAAGTACAAGGATGATGTCATTCCTTGACTCATAAGCTGCATAGAGCTGGATCAGGTTGGCATGGTCCAGATTATTCATGACCTGGATCTCATTCTTCACCACCTCCTACCAAAAACACAGGCGCAGATAGACGTACAGTAAGAAGCAGAAGCCGACAAACAGACACAGATGCGGACAAAAACATGGACACACAACACACAGACAAGCGAGCACACACACAGACAGACACGATGAGAGGTGTCAGCTGTTCTCTGCTATGAAACAATGCATCTTCTCTTCTAGGTCAAATATTTCTCACCTAGGTGAGAAGTATTTCCTCTGCTTCTGTTCCAAGTGGCCTTGTAGTGCACTAGTATGTACTAAAAAAATTGTAACTGACCCCCTGCTTTTTATATGATGTGGCGTGGCTCTCTGTTATCAAAATAGGACTCATTCATTATCACGACACTGAACATCAGGAGCTGTACCTTTTCTTTCAGACTCCTGGCTTTGATGACCTTTGCTGCCAAAGTGAGGCCAGAAGAGTTTTCAACACATTTGTGCACCTGGCCAAAACGACCCCTTGAAGAGAGGGAGAGAAAATAAGTTACCTCAAAATTATATATCCCAACAGCCTAGAAACAGTTGTGACAGCACAGGAGATAGTGTTTTATGTTTCCATGACAAATCAAAAACTGATCTTCCTTCAAACAGAGATGTTTGACTGTAGGACAGGACGTGTGCTTAATCTGTTATTTCATTAAATCTGAGCAGGGCTGTGTCTCCTCTTTGAAGACTTGGATTAACACTTAGTGATTAGCTACCAGCTGGCACCAGGGATACAGTTTCACATACCACTCAGTCCTGAGGTATAAATAACTGCCGTGACTCTGAAGTTATGAACCGGGAGAGAGGAGAAGAGGGGGGTTTACGCAATTAGGCTTCATAGGAATTGAGAACCTCTTTCTCACTGCCTTTCATCTGTGATACATAAATTGTCAACAGCTTTCATTTTTTATATTACATAAAGATTTTGAAAAGTGCTGCGCTCACCCGCCCAGGACTTCCTGCCAGTTGATGGTGTAGAAGTTGATTATCTGGTTGGGCTTGGCAGAAACGATGCGGTGATTGAAAGGAGCCGCTGGAGGAGGAGTGGTGTCTAAAGTAGGAGAAAAGACATAATCTGTTTTAATAAGTTATGCGGAATGTGAGAACACAGGAGCTGCAGCTACAGTGAGGCTTTTGAAAGGCTGCTATAATCAAGTTAGCACATTGTGTATTAAGGTGCTACGATAAACATCAACTACAGTTGTTGTCTAAATATTACAGAGGAGTAAGTATTCTTTAGCACAACACATCTTGTATGTCTGATTGCCAATTTAGCATTTACTGGTCCTCCATGAAGATGGTAAGAAAATATATGATGTTGAAATATAGTCTGACCAATATCAGATAACAATATATTGGGTATATTTTGGGTTTTTTCAACATCAACACATAACATAAACACTTTTGATACTAGTCCTTTAATTTTGACCAAGATACATACAGTATTTTGTGTTTTACAGTTAAAAAATAAACTTGTCAGTGCTCTCTGGTGGACAAACTATGAAATGATAATACTGTTTCAAAGTTATATTTATTATTTGTGTACTGCAATTTCTTCTTATTTATCAGCAAACTTATACACCAATACTGATATATCAGCATTAAGCTAATAATATAACAGCCTGGCAGATGTATCAGTCTACCTTTAGTATGAAGTTCTTTATAAAATGACTATATATTTGTACATTTGAGCAGTTTAATTCAAACTAATGTAAAGAATTCAACATGAAGATTTTGTAATGATTAACTTATTCTGGCACTGCTGACTCACCAATAAAGTACCGCTCTGCCTCATCCTCATCATCCTCCTTTTCTGCATCATTGTCCTTTCTCTCTCTCTCCAACCTTTGTTTTAGGTTCAACTGGAATTCAACCCCATCTGCCCTGAAGACGGCCCAGCCCTCAGACTCCAGACTCTGTTCATCCTCCTCGTCCTCCTTCTTCTCCTCCTCCTGCACCACCTGCACCACCTCTACCACTTGGCTCTTTATGTGTTCCTCCACTACAATGTGTTCCTCAGTCACAAAGAACTTGGCACTGCTGGCCTCTGATATCTGCTCCGGCTCGACCTCGGGAGATGGGGAGGTGTCATTGTGTTCATCACTGCTGGAAAAAAAGTTTATTTTAATTTGTTTTCTTTGTCTCATTACAGCTTGTGTAGATGTGGATGAAGGCACATTTTAATTGATCTTTGCAAAACTGTAGAAACATGGTGGTTTAACATGGCGGACTTACTCGCTCCTATCAATATTATAACCCATTTCTGCCAATAGATCCTCGTAAATGTTACACACTACTGGACCAGTCATAATATCAATGAAATGTCTGGATGATTCAAACACATACAGTATATATAACAGGTCAAGCCTAATAATAAATTAAAACCTTAGCCGTGTGTTTTGAAGGGTCTCTAAAATATAATTGAATACATAACAGATTAATGAGAGGATTAAAAAGATTAGAATTATTGAGGGAATAGCTTCATTTTTCTTTATTTTAATGTGCCAATAGTCTTAATCATTAATTAATCATTAATCTTATTTGACTAACCACCCAAAATCCCAAATAAGTAAATTCACTATAACATAAGAGAAGGACAGGCGGCTAATTCTCACATCAATGTGTGTTAAAATGACAATTCTAAAAATAGTTTCAGATTGATTTTCTGTTGATTATCTTATAGATTAATAATTTATTTTATACATGGATAAATACTAAAGAATTACATAAACACAGACTACCTTGTAGCAGTTGGTTCTTTTTCATCATCATGTGCAGCAGGGGACTCTGTAGTTTCTTCAGCAGGAGAAACAACCTCTTCCTTCACTTCCTCTGGGACTGGGGGCTTTTCTTCCTCTTTCTCTTTCTCAATACCCTCCACATCAAGCTTGGGTTCCTCCTCTGTAACCACTGGCTCTGCCTCCTGCACCTTTTCCACAACCTCCTCTTCACTAACCGCCTCAACAACCTCATCTTTTTCCACCACCGCCACTTGCGAATCTTCACGTAGGAAATCCACCAAGTTGCAAGCAGGGGCTTCGGGTTGTTGATCTTTAGGGGACACTCCAGCCTCCAGATCCAAATATCCAGGGGTGATCTGCTGACCTGATTTCTCTGCATTCTCCCTGTTGAGTTTCTGCACCTCTTCAAGAAGCAACATCTGCTTCTTCAAGGAGATATTTTCTACAAAATATCCCAAAAGAATCAGAATTTAGTCTCTCAAACCCTGTTAAATATCCATAAGTTTCAATATAAGATGCATAAACACTGAATACTGTTTATGAAAGGTTACCAGGGACATCAGAAGGCTGCCCAGTATTTCACTCTGACTTTCGTAACTTGGTGTACATGTAATAAGATATGTCTCTAACAGAGTAAGATGTTTCAAGAAAATTCATTTTTATATTTACATATAGCTCCTGCTGCTTCTCCCTGATTACTTTAACTGGACATCAGAGTTTAAGCACTGACAGATATTTGTAGAATTAACAGTGTATTGATCTCAGCACCTGCTGTGTCTGGTGGCTTCATCTTCTTTTGAGCTTTCAGACCCTTGGGGCTCAAACAGGGCTTATCTGTCCCATCTTTACCTTTGTGGTCCTTCAACTGTGAAATGCAAATTAAAAAAACAGTGAAAAGAGAAATCCGGAACATTCTGTTGTTACATTATCAAAGAAACTTTAAAACTTATTAAAGAAATATTGTAACATGTTGAATTTTGGTAGGTTTATCCTGCCTAAAATAAACTATTCACCTATACCTCACACTTACTTACTATTTAAAGGTCCCAAATCTAAAATGAAAGACAACAATGTTTTTTCTTTCTTTGCCATATGTAAAGTGGCATAGCCCCAGTGTGGCTACACAAAAATCTCACAATGTTACATGTTTCTTGTAAAGAAAGTCAGTCAATTATAAACTCAATATAAAGACGTCCCTTTCTGTTAAAACATGAACTCTGCGTCAGCCTGCAGCCAGAAATGCAAAAGCACAAAAAACATACTTACATACCATAAATAGAAAAGACAAGTTCCTGCATACATGCAGACTGTAAGCACAATAAACCTACAAATTTTCCACTTTTGCGAGAGGCGAGGAAATGCTTTGGTCCATGGAGCTTTATCTTGTGAGAAGGCTGTGGAGAACTGGGCTCACATGCAGGTACTATCTCCTGATTCCCTTTACTGGCTTTATTAGAGGTAGGTTTCTAGTAAAAAGACAAGATGGCAGTGTTTAGTATGGTTAAATGAATTCACATGGAATGGAAGAAACAGCACATGTTAAGAATGAATGTCAATAAGAGAGACAGGATTGATATGAAGTTAGGTTCACAAATAAAACACACAACACATCAAATGAAATAAAAACCAAATGGATAATTCAATTAAATGACAGCAACAGGTTGATTTGATAAAGTTAGGCTCACATGTAAACACAAGCAACACAACAAATATATCACATAAAATTAATAATTCAATGAAACAACATAAAATAATGAAAAGAGGTAAAAACATAAACAACACTTGCTCTGGTTTTCAGCTTACACATTAACACATTTATTGCACATCACCGTGTGCAGACTGACTTGTCTAATGGCATGCCTTTGATTATTCATGGCAGATGGATAGACAGCAGCAGGGCAGTGAATTTATAGCTTATCACTTGCTGCACTCGGCGATGGAATGCAATGCCGACCCTGAGCGGAAAATATTACAAGTGACTGTAGGCTGTTGTTCAAATATTTCAGCTGAGGAAACTCACTAAACACTCTCTGATCAGGTTAGCATGGAAAAACCTGTCTTGAACCCGGGGGTTCTCACATTTGCTTCTGAATACTGTTGTCAGGTAAACTACAGTGTGGATATTTCGAGTGCAGTGTTTCCCCAGTGACAGCAGTGCTTTCTGGAGTTCAAAACTCTGATTGGGAGATTGGGGAACGTGTGGAGACATAAAACATAGGTTACATGTAAGATAGCTCACACCTCTGGAGATGGAGGAAGATGGAGAAACCACCTGACAAGTTCTCTGACAACCACAGAAATCCCCTGACATGTGAGTCACACAGAAGCCATCAGATTGGTATGAGGTCATTAATCATCAGGATTTAATACAGCCACTTTGAATTGGCTTGAATTCAACAAGTCATATCTTAAATGAACACAAATATGAATCCACTACAGCACTATTGTACACTGTGCACCACAACATGTATTCTTTCAAGTATCTGATAACCTTGCCGCATGACGTCATAACCACCACAATCAGGTGAGTTTTCTCTTGCTTGTAGGTCAGAGGAAAAGTGATATGACGCGAACCTCTGCAGCTACGCAAGTGATAGAAGTATGGTGATAACGTGCTTTAGGGTGTCTGAAAGTGCAGCCAAGCAGCACTGACCTTTATACAGGGTCATGGTCTGTGTACTGATTGTATAATATAAGCCAAAATCCTCAGGTTTTATTTGGAAGTGATGTCAGTGTCACCAGAACTAACTTCACTGAGATTATATTTACAGAAGTACATTTTTACTTTTCTGAACTTGTACCAGCAATTCCTGCAACACTGCATGCCGTGTTATATACAGACATTTACTGGAACCCCTAAATCAAAATGTACTGTGACAGCACTATCAGCAGGACTGCCAGTAAAACTTTATGAAGAGCTATTCTGCGCCGCAGGAAGTTCTGCAATTTGCAAAGAATCACATGAACAAGACTTTAGGCAATACCCACTGTTACCCACTCCACAGCAGAGGGAAACTGCTGGAAACTATATTGATGTAAAACACACCCTGTCCTAACTGGCAGAGATGAGCCGTTTAACTGAGTCAGTAAGAGAAACCAGAGAGATGGCGATGGAGACTGACTCATCACAATTCGTCGACACTTGACTCCTGGTGAGCTGAAGGGGTTAAAGTCCTTTTAGACCACAAACACTGCAACCCCTGATCCAAAAACAGCATTTCTAAACCGGGCCACTCACATTTCACCCCTGGCCTCACACCAGCCCTCTCGTGCCCTGCTGGGGGTGGGAGTGTTCCCGGAGTGAACCTTATGCTAAGGAGGCCATGTTGCACTCAGCGTGGGTAGAGATCCAACAAGTGTAAATGTGAGTTAAATTGGGGTTTTATATAAGCTACAAGTGACATATTTATTGTGCAGCAGCTTACGTATGAAATTAGCGTTCTTAATTACTTTACCTTCAATCAGCAGTTGGCAAGTGTAAACATGCCAAATCCCAGACACTACCTATTACCCCTGGGCCATCATATGGGGAATTTAAAACACAAGCCAAGTCACATTCATAGGCAAGAGAACTGTTGGAGTGGTCAGCTTTGCTGCTATGATCATTTTCACTTGTTCTGCCAAGAACAACAAGATCTTTGTAAGATCTAAGAAATCAAAGTCAGCATGGATATAGAAGATCATCTGCAACACTGACAAGAACAAGACTAGATGTCTGGTTGTACTGTAGTACCTGGAAATGCACACTTTAGAATCTAAATTGGCAAAATAAAAAACTCTTAATCCAGAGGTTCTCAAATTTGTTTTATTAATGTACCCCTTTTGAAATATTGTTTTAGACAAATACTCTCTGACCAGCGCAAACCACTTTCGTGTAGAAATAAACTGCCATGTAAAGAGGTATAATACACTATTGTGCCATCAGTGTCGGATTTATTAAGTTTAACACTTAAATGCTTAATTTCAAATGTTTAGAATCCATCACTAAATTCATGGAAAACCACTTTTTTGTCATCATGCAACAACACTAAGATGGCATTGTAGTTGTATTGACCTGTGTCTTTTTGATAAGTTGCACTTTCAATTTATAGAGAAATTTGAGTTTGTGTTTTACTGAGGATCTTTGTCATTCTCAGTGGCAGGGAAGTAACTGCAGTTGAAGGTTTATCAAACTACAGTTGATAGTTTACAACAGTTAATGATTGCATTGAAAATAGGAATTTTGAATATAAAATATGGCTTATAGAACGTACATTTACACACACATTTACTTATTGAACTCATAATTAATATACATGCATGTTTTTGAAAATGTTAATTTTTTTAAATGTTGAGTGCCCCCTGCAGTACTCAAAAGTACCCCTAGGGGAGAAACACTTCCTTAATCCATATCAACAATAAAAACATTTAGAAAATACTTAACCTACTTTATATAAAATTAACGTAATGCAGCTTTTTCCACATTTGGCTATACACACTTGAAGCAAAGATATCTTTTTTAGTTTCAGCATTCTTAGTCTCACCTTGTCAAGCTTCTTGTTTATTGTGTCTGTAGATTTCCTCTTAATGGCTTGCTTGCCTTTATTGTCTTTGGGCTTGGAGCCCTTCCGAGCTGCCGGGCCTTTGAACATCAGCTCCATAACCCTCGAACTCTTCACCGTCTCCCCAATGAAGCTGATCATCTGCTGCATGCTGAGGACCAGTTTTTCCATCCCCTCAAGCTTCTGAGCCTGCTGCTCGGACCGCTGGTTCACCACCGACATTATGGTGCTCATCTCATGACAGATCTCCCTCACCTCTCGCCCCATGACCTGTGTCTGGTTCACCATCCTGGGTGGAAGATGGATCTCCTCCTTGTCAACCTTCAGATTCTCCATATCCTTTTCAATGAAGTCAATGTCTTGAGACATCCCATCTAGTCGGTTGAGGACCTTTTCTTGAATGTTGATGAGCTTGTCCATCTTACTGCTCAGTGACTCAATCCTATTTTGGATGAGGTCAAAGCTTGCGCCGTGGCCATCTCCTACTGTGTTCATCAACAAGGAACTCATGGCTTCCAGTGATTTAAAAATCACGTTAAGACACCAACTTGAGACAAAAATCGGACCAATAACGTCCGTGAAACAGGGAAAAAGACTTTTTCAAAAATCGTAGCCAGCTCTACCCTTCAGTGCTCCCTGTTGGTTTGCAAACTAATTAAGATACAGAAAGTGGAAAAGAAGTGATTCAAGCTAAAAAAAAAAAAAACAAATCACCAACAATGCAGATGAAGATTTAAAACCTATTAAACTGAAAACCTAAGTAAAGTGAGCATTACTTCTCTGTTTCTCTCACACTTTATCCCCAGTGCCTGCTTCTCTCCACACTAGAAATAGTATAAAGGATGGAGTGAGCCGGTGTCCCTAAATGTAAATGGACTGCCTACGTCAGCAGGGGTCAAGTGTTTGGGGTGGGAGCTTGGCACTGCTTGAAGCTATGAGACATTTGAGAGCCTTTAAGTGTTAAGCCCACCACCGTCACTCGCCTGCTAGGTGTCAAAATGGTCACTGTACACAGTACTTGTTCGGTGTAAAGTAAAACAAGTGTGTCAATGCTCATTCATTTGTACATTTTTTCCTATTCAAATGATAATGGCATTGATTTGTTGCAACAGATGGACATGTCTGGTCCACATCGTTGAGTGGACTGCACAAGTGTCCAACAAAGGAGAACAAGCTCACAGGTGGGTTTATTTTTTCAAATTTTCAAATTATAAATTATAACAGTTATTCAAATAATATTCATAGAAAAAGTCTGAAATGACTTGGCTGCTGGTTATGTGGCACTGCTCAACGTTGGTCTGTCTGTGTGTACAATTGTGAATGAGAACCATGTTGCAATGCAAATTCCCTCTTTATCTCTTGAATGCCTGTAACTTGCACTCAGTGTCATTGGAAAGAGTAAGCCTGCAGTTCCTGTCCAAGGAGACCTAGAGTAAGATGTGCAGACATTCTGCTGAAAGAAGAGATGAGTGACTCGGATGATTAATATGGTGCCTACTCTCTGACAAAAACATCCACTGATAACCTCCCTCAAGAAAGTAGGGGATCAGTTTTAACTTAGCTCTTGTAATATGACCAGAATCCATGTTCCCTATAAATCAAAATATGTATGATTTATTCCAACAACAGACATGTGTTTATGTCAACAACTAGGAATAAACAGACACTGAATAGACAGAGAATAAATGCTAAAGTCAAAAGTATTTAAATAACTAGATGCTCCAATGCACTTACAGTTGTTTACTCAAGCTATTTCCTGACAACTTTGTTGTCAAAGTTTCACAAACTCATTTTGTCCCCATAAATTTGTGGGTGATAGAGCTCAGGAGGAATCCAGCTTTGCTTAAGCCACCATGAAATACTTTTGACAACAGAGGCACAGACCGCAAACTGAGCCACGGTGACCCCAGCCAAACTCGCCTCACTCTGGTGGTCGAAGCCAAAAATGTGGGCTCACGGGTGCCGTAACCAAAGAGTGATGTGAACCTGGCAGTTAAAGCAAAGTCAAGCAGGGTAAGGTGAGGGAAGAGAAAGGGGAGGAGTTCACCTGTCAGCTCATATTTCATGACAAGTCACCACACCAGCTTGCATATTATTCTCTTTCACTTGCACAAGATGGCTGCAGCAGAAAGAACAAGTGACTCTGACAGGGCAGAAACAGATGGGGGTGAAACTAGCCATCAATCACTCAGGGAGGGACAGGGACGCTTACACCTGTCCTTGGATGCCAACAGATGACAGACAACGTAGGTCATGTGCAGCATGTTGTGTCAATTTGAGGGGCATGTATAGTCAACTTTCTTATACAGCGGTGTGCATGCAACAAGCCATATTTTTTTAACACAAAAAATGTAAAGTATTTATTTAAAAGTCGTAAAAAGACAAAAAGAAATTGATTCTGCAACACAGGATTGTCTAAACTGTTATTTTGCTGCACATTAAAGGTCAGCATGTATGACTGTAATGACAATATCACATCATCTTGTATTCCTTAGGAGGGAGGGGGGACACTTTAAGGTTATTAAACCCTGCAGGGGAGATATAAACAGACCCCTTGGCCTCTGAAGCTAATGACACAAAGCAAATATCGTGTATATCACTTACACTTTACAGTGAAACTAACTCCAAAAAAAGTAACATCACCATGACTGGTACTCAAACTCGTCTCTCACCGTCTTTGCCAAACACAAGCATGTGTATGCACAGCCTGAACACACACAGCCTGGCAGCTGGGAAATCAATGCCATGTCTACTGGTGCATGATTAAAATGTTGTTTAGTTAATGTGACAGCAAAATTATCAGGATGTCTGGAGGCATCCTTGACTGCATGAATGTTCAGAAAGGCTGTATAATATGTAACAAAGAGCTCCATGTTTGTTTGTGTGTGTGTGTGCGTCCTAGTTGACCTTGCAGTTTGAACACCTACTGACGTACGGACATCAAGAGTGGAAAAAATGTAAAGGTAAAATGATATTCAGCAGAGGGCTTAGCTCCTTTAAATAGTAAAACTTCATCATGCAACCTTTGTAACTCGAATAATTATGAAACAGTATCTTGCATTTTTTGCTGTCTTTATGTTGTGAAGTGTCTTTAATGGTTTAATTACAAAGAAAAGTCTGACTTATTATCAATATGTTTAATTGTAGGGCTGGCACTAATGATTATTTCCAATATGGATTAATCTGACAGATTATTTTCTTGATTACTTGTACTAATTACTAATTAATTGTTTGGTATATGTAATATCAAATAATATTGAAAAATCCCAAACTGATGGTTTTATCAACCACAAAACCCAAAGATATTCAACCTCCAGTGACATAGGACAGAGAAAAGCAGCCAATTCTAACATTCGAGAGGCTGGGATCAGAGAATATTTGGCATTTTTGCTTATAAAAATACTGATTATAACTGATTATAACATGCATAATTAGGAAAATATTCAATATCAAGACATGGTTTTGCAAAATAAATGGAGGCATCAGGGACATTTGTGTATGCAAACAACTGCTTGAAGCCATAAACATTCATTAAAGCATAAAGTTTGTATACACCAAATAAAGTAGTTGAGGCAGATGTTATTGCCTCTGTATAACCCCCTGTGAGTCCACATGAAAGTCAAAAAGTGCACCTAAACACATAAATGTTTTTAGTTCAGAAAAGATCTGCTTTTCCTGAACTCAGTACTTGTGGGAGGTTATACGATTGAATAAAGTGACCTGCATAGGCCTCTTTTATTATAGGCTATTTGTTTGGCACCGGGACAAGGTGAATGGTTAAAAATGGAGCACCACCTCGCTAACAGAGAACACAATGTCCTGAGAAGCACTGGGGCTCTGTGCTGTGGCTACTGTCCAGTCACCTCTCCTAGTCTCCACTCCCACACTTCGCACATTCTGCCAGCCCTGGCTATACTTTCTCTTGGAAACTTGTGGGCTTAAATGTGTGTGGCAGCCGTGAAACTTAACTCCTCGCACTGATGTCTAAGACGTCTCTTCTGTTCTTTCCCCGTCATCTCGTGTTTTCTCCTTGCATGTAAACACATTTTGTTGCTGCACTTTGACAGACTTTTTGGTTTTGTTTATACATACTATATTAAACTACATTACGCTGATTCAAGACATTAACTCCCCATATATATATATATATATATATATAGTATGTAATACATGCCCGTTTGCCTTGTGAAATGAAATAAACGTACACGTTATTAAATTCAAGTATCCAACTGCTGAGATGTATAGGGTATGCACTGATGACTTTTGGAATTGGACACTTTCAGAAGAACTAAATTAGGTAAAACTGCATGTGACTGGTCCAATCATTGACTACGATTTTATTTTGAACAACAGGTGGCATTGTTCAGCTGAGTAAAGGATGAACAGCGAGATTCAGATATAAAGTGATGCTCCAAAAATTTAGTGACAAGGGAGGGAAAAGTAACGCTTATAGAAACTTATAAAACCACTCCTGCAGAATAATCTACTTCTCCTAATACAGAGAAGTCTTCCTGACGAGGGGATGAGCAGGAACTGGACAGTCTAATGTTTGCAAACAAATACATGTGTCTGCTCCGACAGCACTTTGCGTGAACACTGTGGGGCAGTGTTTTCAGCCATACTAGCATACACATGTACAGTAGAGAAGATAGTTATGAGGCAAAAGTGGTACTAATTGTTTGTGCATTTGGGCAGCAAATAAGCATTATTTTCATTATTAATTAAATTGTTTTAACCTGAAGGTCAGTTTACTACCATAGAGGATTAAGAAAAATAGCAAATATTCACATTTGAGAAGCTGGAATCAGCATATTTTCAGCATTTTACTAAGATTATTCATATTAAAATGGCCTTGTAATGGTAAGAATAATAAAAACTGTGTAATACATTTATTTATTTTCACCACAATTATTCTTACTTGTGCCTGAGAAACACTTTCAGTGAAGTACAGCGCCTTTACTTGGGGAAGACATTCCCAGATGCACTATTATTATCAGTATGGAAACGTAAGAGGCGCTTTACATTGAGGATGTCATAAAGGGTATTAAAGGTTAGTGACAGAATGCAAAGGAAGCTTAGTCACATACTCGTGGATCTACAACAGTAAATGTCAGTGTGGATCTACTAAATGCCAAGAGAGGAACTGAAACACGAGAGGGTGAGAGTGTTCAGCTTGTCTCTGAGGGAAACTATCACGGCATTAAGGATAACTACAGTATATGTGTATTTATGAAGATGTTTACTGAGTATATATATATATATATATATATATATCAGTATAAATAAGCTGTCTACAATGTGAAACATGAACTGAAATTGGGCCATATGGAAACAAATAACTGGAAGAAAAACTGAAATAACAGGGTAATTATACGGTAAATATGACTCCGCAGAAAAGCTCTCTTCAGTTACTGATCTGTAACTTTACAGGTTTAAACATCCGTTGCTTTTCCCAACACATGTAATGCAACGTCACCACTGTACCACACATAAAGCAACGCTACATCTCAGAAGCAATGTAAAAAAAATTGAATCACTAGATGGCAGCAAAAGCAGGACTTTCAAGCTATGTTTCATTACCTTGAAACACTCCAGTGTACCCGTCAGGCTCTACCACTAGAGCTCACTGTATCTTCACCAGCAGATTCCCCTAAACTCCGCACTCATAAACACCCACAACCCCTTATCTCATGTTTTATCCTTCCTGCCGCTATCCGTAACATATCAAAACACACACGGATCATAAATACCAGTCTTATCTTTCACTCAGACACTGAGCATCGCATTACTGCTGAAAGGCAAATGTAAGCACTTGATTAATGCAGGTCACGAAAGTAAGTGCTCACTGGCTTTAAGACAAAACATAACTGTATAGAGTGGTAAAAGCAGGCAAGAAATAAGAATAATTTATATACAAAGTGGCATATCCAATATTTGAACATATCTTACCCTTATAGGTTTATGTGTAATACAAAATGATTACATTGTGCCTGTCAAATAAACTACAGGCACAATGGATCTACTGGCAGAAATTGAATATAATATTCATAGATAAGTTTTCATTAGTGTATAAGGTAACTGTTTTGTTTCAGTTACCTTATCCATTTAGCTACAGAGGCGGCAGGCCCTCTTATTCAGAGTCTGCCATGTTAAACCACCATGTTTCTACAGTAGCTCAGAACAGACAAACCAAACACTGACTCTAGATAGGGCCTTTAGTGTTTTATGTTTTGTGACCACCTTAGTTTCTCCTACAAACTGTGTGAGCTGTATTCAGTTAGTTGGTTCTGCAATTTCACTAACAGATGTCACTGAATCCTACACTCTGGTCCTTTAAGTACAGAAATGTACTATATATGTATTATATATGTATAGCTCTCAAAAATAAACAGAAACCCATTTCTACCAGTCACCAGAATTGTCTCTCTCATAGGAAGTGGCTACATGGAGAGGCTACTTTACATGAAATTTGATGCTACGGTACAATCCAACAACACCATGCTTCTGCTCCCTGCTGCCAACTCATGTGTTGTGTTTAATAGAACTTGTGGGCTGGATATTGCCCACAGAATTCAAAGTCTTGTCGTGCATCAGTTATAAATCATTTATTTGAGGCCAACTGTGCATCACAGCCTCTTCCAGGAAACTAAGAATAACATCAATAAGAATAAACAGAACAAATCAAGTGGAAGCAAGGACACTGCTGCCTCTGCTGTCCATTTTTACCTACTGTAACTCACTGATTTTGCAACCCTGGATACTTCTGAAAGCATAATCTGAGAGGTAGAGACAGTTCAAATGATGTTCAGTACATCAGGAGTAGAAAGAAAATAAGAAACAGAACAATGTGTCAGTAAATACTTTTTCAAATGACTATTTTTCCAGCCTAATTGGAAATTCCTATGACGACAGTAAGATTATGAAGTAAGGGAAGTTATTAAATGTTGGAGTTCTACCAGCTGCTTCCATCCCTTCTGAAGACAGTCCAACATAGTTGACAGGAGCTATAGTATTCATAACTAATTAATGCATTCTGTTTAAATCAATCAACAAGCGATCATTTCAGAGAAAACCAGACCTGAGCTCTGAATACAATGAATTGAGATTTTATGCAGTATAACGTACATTTGTGTTTGTCCGATGCTTACTGTACAGGTATGAACAATTACATGTGAATGCAACTTGACCCAAAGATATTTTCCTCTAAAACTTTTGTTGCAGCATGGCCACGGTAGACCTAGCAGCCTAAAGGCATCTAATACAGGTGTTAGAAAATAAAGAAAGTCAGGAACCACTGAACTTTTGTTTTGTACACTCTTTGTAGGACAACAATAACAATAAAATCCAGTGGATTTTCAGTGGAATAGAATAGAATACAACTTTACCGTCCTCAAAGGTGGAAAATTGTAGTTCATCAAAAGATGAACACATAGCTACACACACTCCACATAATGACACTGACAACAGATAGTTTTAGATATTCTTGGTACATAAAATATAATATAATACAAAAAGTGAAAATGTAAAATATTCATAGCTGTACTGAAACAACCACTGCTGGAAGGTTAATATTCTAGTAAACTTCCTTTCAGAAAACAAATGTATCAGTGTTCCTCAGCTAATGTTCAATTATTATTCAACAAGTCAGACAGCCTTGTATATACCTGGATGGCAGGTGGAGTGGATGCTCTGTGCCTCCTCTTGTAGCAGAGTAAACCGCACAGCCTGCGCCAGAGGTAGGAGGCCACCAGACACATGCTGTTGACTAGCCAAATGTCCCAGCCTGCGACAAAGTTTTCCATAGCTTTAACTTTACTCTTCATTCCTTCTTCTATACCCTTGCGTTTCCTATCTTTAACTACAAAGGACCTCTCGGAGCTTAGGGAGAAGACTCCCAAGTGGTGAGTAAGAGGAGATGACAGTTCCTTCCCTGGGTGCGGACCGCCCCAAAGTACTACACTATCTTCCACAGCCTCTGTTAATTCAGTCAACACCCCACTCCCATCAGCACTTAGAGCCAAAGGACGGCCAGTTTGTCCTCATGACAAAAGAGTGACAGGTGCCAACAGGAGACAAGCCCCCTCTCTCACGTTATCTAATCCCTCCATCTTCACTAGAAAGCATTTTCCTCCTCAAAAACTATATCTGAGTAAACTGTAAGACCAGTCCACCGAAAGCATAATTAATCTTCAACACAGTACTGACACTGAAAACTGAGAGAATTGTGATAGGGGGGCTAGTCTTCCTGTCAACACAGACACTTGGAGGTGGTGCAAATAAATAGCCTGTGCTATTGGATTACTGCTCCAAATGTCACACAGGCTATCACATGAGTGCTTACACTCAACGGTCTCGACTGAAGCATTTTTAGAATAACTTGCATATTTTTAAACCCAAAATCATAGCATGTTGTGTAAATACAAATATAACAACTTTTATTACCTTTTATTAACTATAATTAAACCCAAATTAACAATGAAGGCATAGATGAGGGGTGATATCTTTGACTCAGCCTGTACTGTGCAATAATGACACTATGGGTGTGAAACAGTATGGCCACAAGGCCAAGAATGCATCGTCTGACTCACGGTAGCTAATCGTAGTTATGTATGACATGTCTGGAAATCTCCCCGTCTTGCTCAGACTTCACAACCAGCTCTGCCAAATACAATACTGAGCTCACTTCTGGATGGGAACTGTGCTCTCGCTGCTCAAATGGATATCTTGGCTGCCACAGAGGGGGGTTAAAAAGCAAAACTGGTCTTTGATTACTCACAATGTCTCAGTTTGCTTTATAGTAGACTGCTTAAGTTACAACCGCAACATGTGATTAATTGAATCCTAGATGACATGCTTTACACTATTTTTGGTGCTATCATTTGGCTCTATACCATTGACAAAATTGACATATTCAGAGCTATAAATTGCCCTTGCTCTTTGGCACTTATGAAGTGCTGAGAAGGAATTCAACATCATGGTGTCAGATTTTGCAACTTATGTTGTTTGTGTTTGACCGTCAAGGTAAAACCTTATTAAATCATTGCTAAAAAAAACTTGTCAGAGCTGTCTCAAAAATTATTTTATACTATTTTAGAGTGCAGTGCAGTGTAGTTTCTGCTAAATATTAAGGAGATCAATAAATGTCCTAGTATATTATTACAGTAACCCTGTTATTTAAAAATGTGACAATTACCACCCTCTGCTGGTCCTCCTGCAGACTCAAATATATCAGTACTCACTGACATAGCCTGAGTATCTTTTATATGGATTTCATGAGCTGCACAGATACCTCTGGTACAAACTTCATCTCCCAGAAGCAGCGCATGGTTTTCACCTTCTCCAAGTAGGGGAATAAAGCCAGCTTGGTCATGTTTTGGCTGTTGGCACACTGATGAACTGACTTCAGCTTGGCCATTCTCCCTGAGGGGGACACTTGGCTGCCAGCCCTTTTCCTTCTGAGCTCTCTCTCTCCGTCTTCCTAGCCTGGCTGACCTCTCTGGTGTGTTCTTCTTGGCAGGGTCTTTTATCTGAGCAGAGAAGGAGAGGAAGACAGAGAATGGCTGCAGTAAAGTGACACTCAGTTTATAAGAAAACAGCAGCAGTTCAGACAGAGACGATTACGTTACCACAAATTCGCTGATACACAGAAAATTTAAGCCTGCAGTTTTTGGGGCCTTTTGGGCCCTGGGGACAGTTGCCCACTTTGCCCAACTGGTAATACAGCCATGCCAATTACACATCAATAATGAATTACTTTAAAAATAGATTTTTTTGTTTTGTTGTGTTAAAATGTTCATTAGTGAGGTCTTTTATTCGTTTCCGTTTTTGCAAAAACCTTGAGTTCCTCCATGGCAAAACTAATAGCTAGTATTTGTTGCATTCAAGTACTACTAGCCTATAGGAAAAAACAAGTTTCCATTAACCCCACGTTAAAGTTTCAGAAAACTGTAAACGTACGGTGACATTTCATTTGCAACGTTAGCCAAACTTACCATCCCAAGGGTTCAACCAAAAACAACCAAACTCCACTTTCAGAGTGTCCATCTTTATGTAGCCTAGCACTGGTCACGAAAACATAAACTAGACAACAATGTCCTGAGTTCGGACCGTCCCATCAGCCCCTGAACGCACCCAGACAGTGACTAAATAACAGGAAGTCCACAAAAAACACAAATCTAAGCGCAAACTTCAAACAATCGAAAGGTTTTTCAGAAAGTCAAACGGAAAAATCGCATCTGAGAATAACATTAAGCCA